GGTGATTTCAGAGTCTTAACCTGGGCAACGTCAGTCATTGGCTTTAAAGAAGCAGCTTAAGGATTCTAACTTCCAGTGAATAGTCCAACCATGCCACTGAACAGTAAAGACCACAGTTGGACTTACCCCATATAAGTGCACAGAGCCTCAATAACCCTTTTATTGCCTCGCTAGAAAAATAGATTCAAAATCATATATATTGAAAGATACTGAAAAACAGAATGTGGGGAGAAGAAACATTTAAAACACACTCTCAATAATTTGAGAGAGCTAAAATCCTTCACTTATGATACAAGAAAAAGATCCTTTAAAAAAGGAAATAGTTAAGGAACAACAAAAAGTTCTTGTTGAAAATTAAAACTACTATAGATGAAAAATGAACATCTTGAAAGATAAATGAAATCAAATAGATGGATATAAATGAAAGTCACAGAAGATAAAATTAAGAAAATTTCCAAGAAAGTAGAGAAAAAAATACAGAAATAATAAATAAAAGAGGAAACATGAGAATACTAGAAAATCATCCCCAGAGTTCCAACATCCTAATAATGAAATTTCCAGAAAGAAGGACAGGAGGAAGATAGAGGGGAATAAATACAGGAAAATACTAAAGAAAATTTTCCTGATGGATGCGAGTTTCCAGACTGAAAGTGCACAGCAAAGCAGATTAAAAATGGATTTACACTTAGAAGCAGAGATTTTGAAAGTTTAGAACACCAGGGAAGATTAGAATATCCTATAAGCTTTAAGGGGAGAAATCAGTTTTATAGAAGGATTAAAATTTAATGGCATCAGATATCTCAGTAGCAACACTGGAAACTAGGAAAAAAAGGAACAATGCCACTGAAATTCAGAAAGAAAGTTCGACACTGGGCCAAACTCTTAATATTAAGTATTAGGGATAAATTAATTTATTTAAAGATACCAAGCTTTCAAAAAGTTTACTACCAGATTTTTTTTTTTTACTGAAAAACTGGAAAATGTTCTTCATCAAAACCAAGTAATAAACCAAGAAAGCTGAAAACATGTTCCATAAAACAAGATTTCGATACCAAGAAAGAGGTGAATGGAATATCCATGATGATGATAAAGGGAGATCCCAAGACAAGAGCTGCACAGTAGGTTGAAAGAAATTCACACACTTGAGCAGATCAGAATGCTTTGGCAGAGATTTCTTCAAGAAGATAAAATTGCTCCAATATCTTATATGTTTGAGGAGTTAACAGAAAGATATTTATAATTAGGAAAAACACTGGGGCTAAATTAGTGGTAAGTGTATGTATAAATAAGCAAAACAAGAACCACTCTATCAACTCACGGGGGGAGAGCTGTGAAGGGTAGGAAAAATGATCAAAAAACATGGGCTTAAATGCAATAGAGCTTAAAACACTGATTATCTAATTAAAATATGATATAAGAATATTGGAAATTTAAGATAGGTTGCGTATTGTAGAGATGTGGTGGGGATCAAGTGTAGAAACAGAACTAGAGCTCATCCACCAAATGGATCATCCGGAAGAAGCAACTGCATATCAGTGGAATCACCCAGAGGGCAGGGACTACTCAGGTTTGTGAATTTAATTTAACTCTCTAAACAATCTCTCTGAGAATCAGTTTCTTCAAGTGTGTAACAGGGATAATCTCTACCATGTAGAGCTGTTGTGAAGATTCAAATAATGCATGCAAATCAGCATGTGAGTGTTTGACTTGCGGAGCTGGTAAAGGATAAGCAGGAGTTAAACTGGATGATATTCTTAGTAAGCAACAAGAAGGGATAAAGGGCCCTACCGTATTTGCTGTCCACAGCGTCCATAGATCAAACACAGTCCAAGTATTCAAAAACACCTGTGATTTCAAGAAAACTTTATGGGTTAAAAAATCATAATTTGGAAAACAATTCTACTGGATAATGAGGATCATTCTTTTTGAATTCCACTAGTACAGAATACAAGAACTTGACTTTGTGGATTAATTCTGTGAGGTACTGGAGAGTGGAACACATGACATCATAGAACTCATCTGATCCAAAATTGGGAAAACACCTTCTCTTCCAACCACTGTGAGAAAAAGTAACTGAACACTTTTTTAAAAAGTTGGTTTGATAGTTGAAATTAGGAAAACTGTATTTGTCTGCTTTACTTACTGTGGCTCTTAAAACACGGGTTTAGCAAAGGGTAAAGCTAGATGGTCATGAAGCTTCCTCCAAATGCAGGTCTCAAATAGTTTGCATTAGTAAGTTCAGGTTCCATATTGCTGAAGCATCTCACCAGTAAGGAACCAAAATAAAAGGAACCCTCAGGGAAAGACTTTTAATGGATTGAATCATTGATTTTTTAAGGAATGAAGATTCTTACAATAAACAGAATCAAGTAATATGAGTAATTAACTGTTGAAAAGTAGAAAAATGATGAGCACACTGTAAAAATTTAACCCAATCATACTTTGAAAATTTAATACAGTTTTTATAAAACTGAACTTGCAGTATTGAATACATAAGTTTATATTTTTGAAACCTAAATGACCTTGTACATTTAAATAATAATAAAATGCATGCCTGACAGTGCAGTTAGTTTGATGATAATTTGAATATGTACAACATAATTCAAGCACAAATTTTGAAGTAGAGCTCACAGGTGTGCTGTAAAATCAAGCTGAACTCTCTTCATAGGATGAAATGGTAGAGATTTTCATTCAAATAGAATGTAAGCCACTTTCCCCATAATCTCACTTTTCCTACAAGAGAAATAATCCATTATAATCCCATCCTGTTTCCAAAAACATGGCTCTTGATTTCTGAGACAACCAAATATTTCTCAGAGTAATTAAAGCCATATATGGATGAATTTAAAAGAGCATAAGAATTTTTTCAGAAGTAATTAATGATAAAATATCCTTATTTTTAATTTAATATATATTTACAAAAGTATATTCACATATTGCTGAGAAGGATATTTAAATTGAAGATAAGCATTATCAAAATAATTGTATTTCTTTTATTTACATCATTTTGATAAATAGAATGAAATATTTTACCATGACAGGAGCTATACCAAGAAAATCCCATAGAAAGAGACTAGTTTCCAGTCATTAAGTTGAATTATTCAGTTCAATGAACACATTACATTTTGCTTCCAATAGTCATCACGTTGGTGGGCTGAAAATTATCTTGACTTAAGTTGACTTTTACTTTCTTTGATTTGAACTCTTACAAATTCCTGAAATGGAAACACCAGAGGTTTATTTTTCATTCAGTCAATAAAATGCATAATTTTTCACTGCCAGGAAAACATGTCATGTACAGATGGAACAAATGTTACAGGAAATCACTTTGATAAGAAGTCCTGCAGGCTGAAATGTATGAAACTGAGATGACTTTGCTTGGAATGATCAGTGTCAAAAAAAATCAGCAAAATGAGAAGAAAAAAGCAATTCTTTATTTTTATCCAAATATATCAGACTTCATAATTTAGTTAGTTTCAACAAAAACGTAGAGTCACCATATATCATCCAAACTGGGACATGGTAAGAGCGAAAGGGAGCACTGTTAATAATTACACACGTACAACAGATATAAACTGGAACTCTCCTGGGTAAACCGGAACCTAAGATCAGCTTATCAATAGGGGTTAAACTGCAATTACATGCAGAAATCATCCCTCTCCCATACATATGTGGGAAAGATAAGGGAATAGTATTCACTAAGAAAAATTAATTTGGCAAAGTGATTCTTTCTCATCAATCAGGTCTCTGTTCAAATACCACCGCCTCCCTGAGCCAGTCACCTCTCCTAAGATAATCAATCTTATTTCACCCAGTCATTTTCCATCATGTTGGCCTGTTTTCCTTCCTTTAGACTGATATTTTGACTCTCTGAAATCATCTCATTTGCTTTTTGTCTCCCTCTCCCTACTCTCCTGCTGATAATGCAGTGTTTGAATGAGCAGTGACCTCTTCTGACTTAGTCATATCCAAAGACACAGGAGCTAAAAATGTCTAGAACATAAAAGGCATGCAAAAATTTTGTTGAATGAATGAATGAATATATTTGGAGAGTTTATTTTTGGTCCTATATTCTCCTTGGTGTCAAAGATAAATTAAAATGACTCTCCAAATTAAAGTATGGCTCTGTTCAGTTTTAAGTGGTTGGACTAAATGATCTATGCAGTATCTTCCACTGATAATAAATATACTGTGCCCCCTGGACCCCCTTCTCTCTCTGCTACTATTTCATTTCCTATATCCAACGAATAAGAAAGTCTGGGGGTCATGGGTAGGGCAACCAGCTCCATTCACAGTGGATGGATGCTCAGAGTTGATCATTTTGCCAGTAACGATTCCCTGGTATATGTTTGCACCTACAGAATTTGATTGATAAAGAGGTAGCCAGAAGGTATTATTGTAGTCAATGATAGAATTGTGGATGTAATAATTTTCCAATAAAATCATCACAGGATTGCTAAAAACTGGGAAGTGATGAGAGTCCAAACCAGCCATTAAGATTTACATATTTGTGAGGAGAAAGATTAATTCTGGACAGATTTAGACTGCAATGCCCAAAGAAGTTTTATAGGAAGATCCATCCATGATAATCTGATAAGGAGCACTTATAAATTTTCATAAAAATCTCTGCATTCCAGATCTTTATTTTACATGTGTTCTTCTGAGGAATGGTTTTGATTCCCATTAATGGGTCATAAATCAGACCTTTGGGTTCAAAAAATATTACTGCTAAAATGATTTTGGGAGGCCAGAGATCCAAGACACCAATAAAAAGAACGTTTACCAAAACAAAACAAAACAAAAAGAAAACTCACAAGGGTAAAATATCTTCAAGTCATCTGGTTTTAAATTCTCTCAGGTATATACAAAATATTCCTTCTAAATTGAGTGACAGGCATGGGATGAGATAGGTTCCCCAGATGAGGAAAAAAGTCTGTCCTTTTATAACAAATGCCACAAACAAGAGAATGGCATAAAAAGAGACTCAATTAGACATACACATTTTAAGCATAAATATTATCATCTGTTTCATTGTATTAACTCATAAGGATAAATCATTAGTTTTTAAAATGACAAAAGTCCGAGAAAAAGAATAAAAATGTTACCAATCGACTCAGTTTGAAGCAGGGACCATTAATTATGTAGTTTTACACAGATTCCAACATATCCAATGTAACTTGGCTACTGACTGTTACAATGACTCAGCATTTGTTCAGAGCTCATATTTGCATTAAATCATATGCAAAAGAGATTTCCAGACTTTAATTCGTCCAGGAAAGGAACAACTCTCAAAATAAGCAATGTTTATTTTTCCCCAGTACTAGCAACTTTTAAAAATCATAAGAAATTTTCAGCATATTGGTATGCTTTAAAATTTACAAGTTAAATAAATACTGGTTATATTTCTGCAGGGCCATAAACAGAACAGACTTGTGTGACTCCCTTATATAAAGCACAATTGAAACTCTTCCAGGACCTTAAACAGCAGATAACATTAAATCAGATTTTAAAATGACAAATAATTTAAGGCTAAAATATTTGGTATTAATAATTAATGCCAGAAGCCTTCCTAGCCTAATAAAGTAAACATGCACAAGAACTACAACTTCGAACAAAACATCACAATTTTATCAGATATATATGTATGTATGTGTGTGTGTATTTATGGATATACATGTGTGTGTATATATAAAACTGTATTTTATACACACACACACACACACACATATATATATATATATATAGTTTTATCACCCTGAAAGCTATTGATTCATGTTTGGCTTAATACATATTTTAGAAATGTTGTGGAGAGTACCACCTCTTTAAATATATATATATGTATATATATATATACATTTTCCAGAATATACAATATAAATATACCATATAGAAATCATGCCATAAAACTAAATGCAAAATTTGCACGTTATTGCATGCTGGATGTGATAATACATGCCCGTTAATAAGAACCTCCTTGTGATGTTCTCTCTTCACAACTTTTCCTTTCTGCACAGTAGCAATATTTGAAAAGGAAGGGTTCTCAAATATGCATATATGACTGGGGGGAAATGTACCTTTCAGATTCCTTAGAGAGGATGATCTCATCCACCAGATATGGGACTATTACTAAATCAAACAGTAAATAATGCCTGAAGGGGTGTTTTGTTATGTGAATCTATCTGAGTTCATTTTTCTTAATTTTGCTGGAAGATTCCCTTCCATCCTGGCTGCTCCTCCTGCCATCTTTTGAAGCTTTGGTGGCAAATCAGCCACTGACTGGCTCATGGGATCGGACAACATTTTGGTGGTTTTTGATACCAGTTTTTCTTCTGAATTGCCAGGTACTGAACTTATTCGTTGAAGTTTCATGGGCAAATCTCCCAAGCTGTAGGCTTTTTCAGAAGTTGTAGAACTCATTCTTAAGAGTTTTTTGGGAAAGTCTTCTCTTCCAGTAATTTTCTGTAGCTTAGATGGAAGTTTGGTACTAATGTCATCGAGTCCATCTAAGCATTCCACAGAATTGTGTCTTTCTTTGCTGTTAGTTATGGCTGGTGCTATTAAAGGGGACGACATAAGTAGCATTTCCTCCTGTTCTTTCACACTGTACGGTGGGGTGGGGACTTCAAATGTTGCATGGAACTGGGAGTAATCAACTTTAAAGAATCCTTCTTCTAAGGAAATTACAGGAAAAAAACGATGACCCCAAAGAACTTCGTCTTCAGTGTATGACGTTCGAGCTTGACAAGTCATCCCTGAAAGCAAAAAGAAAATCCTCGATAAATTATGCATAGTAGAAGCACAGGTTAAGGCAGTTTGAACTAAAGAGTTCATTTTGCTTTCTTATTTAAGCTTTGGACTGTTTATCTGAGAGACTGAATAACAGAATATGTTAAAAGTTGTGATGTATTAATAGCTTTGATACATACACTTTCTTCCAATAAAATACAAAGGGTACTTTTACTCTTCATATTTGGAAAATAATACATCAAATCTTAACTAATTGTTTATTATCCATAAACCAAGAAGTAGAAATAACGTAGAATAATTTCATAACACATGTCTTTTCTATAAGGAGATAAGTGGAAAAATCACATAGTCATTTTCCATCATTCAAGAAGCAATGTGATATAGGAAACAAACAAAAACTGATTTTGAATCCAAACTTTACCTCTGTGTAAACTTAAGGATACTTAACTGAGTACCTACCACTTTCCTCTTCTGCAGAGTGAAGCATAAAAACACCACTGTCTCATAGGACTTCTATGAGCATGAAATAAAATTATGTGTGCAGAAATGTAAGACGTGCCATGTAATGTCTAAATATGGTTGGCGTTTATAAATGAGAGCTAAGATAACTATCCCAAGTATTTGCTAAATAAATATAAGTTGAAAATATTTCTATGTTGTATAATGGAAAGTCATTGTACAATGTGATTCTCTTCCTCCTGAGCTTTAAGGCCAGAATGGACTTTTGCTCAAGTTTTAAAAATCCACATGCTGAAATCGGTAACCTGGGCCACTGTGATGTGACAAGTTCTAGTCTTACTATACAAATCTTTGAAACTAGACGCTAGATATTAGATGAAAAATGTCGCTATTTATATATTATGTTGCTTGGATATCATGTATCTTATGCTATTCTGATTTACTCAATTGTATTCTCCCCACAAATCATATATAAAGACTGAGTTACCGTTAAATCAGTCAACCTCTGAATATTCATTGTGTGAAGACTGGCAGTACATGAATAAATTAAAACCGTGTATTAAATTTCAGTTTTATATTAATGAAAAGGTACGATTTTCTGTAAGTTGCCAAATTCGTTGCTCCAGCTTTACTATCAGATTTCTGTTAAAGACTATTAAAATGGAAAATGATAGATGAATTTTTAAAATGTATCTCTTCAAAAGTTAAGTATAATTTATACAAATAGTAACAGTCTTCTTTCATTTCTGTTCTCCCTTTGTCATTTTGCAAATAATTTTATTGTGGTTAAGCCTAGAATACTTTGGGTAAAGAGATATTCTTTCTTTTTCCCCCTGACTAGTAATCACAGATACAATACTTAGAATTAGGATAAAATGCCTAAATCAAAAGCCATATTGTAGATAAATGAAATCCCTCATTGAATCCTTCCAAAATCTTACATTATCATTATTATCAGTTACGTATCACCAAGGAATCAGTTGTTATGACATATGTACTGTCTTTTTCCAGATAGTAGTTAAAGAAATTTATGTGGAAAACAAATGTCCATCTCAGGCACTGTGTTAGGTGCTCTGTCTCCATATTAATTCTAACCAATATCATCCTAGTAAGAAAACATTCTTATGTCTATTTTAAAGATAAGGAATCTAGCTAGTGTTCAGAGAGGTTAAATCATCCTGAACTTCCTTCCTTACAGATCTAGGAAGTTGTAGAAAAAAGAAATCAGAATTATTCCAACTTCTGGTTTTGTTGTTGCTTTTACTTTGCCATGATATCTCTATTATTTTGGGTAGGAAGCTGATTGTAAACTATGTATCAATTTAACTGTCATGGTGGAAGTCTGACAGTGACCAGACATCAGTCTTCAAAATTATTATCATATCAAGAATATCCCCCAGAAATATTTATATGCAAAGATAACAAAGTTAATTTAAAAAGTAATTTGTACATTTTATAGACATGCACATGGTAAGTAGCATTCTGTATTTTCAGACTTCCAGCCTCTGACTAAGTATTTCATGAGGCAAAATTACAGATCGTCACTTATTCAAGAAAGATAAAAAATGTATTTCCTGATATATTTACTTGGCTTTATTTTGAGGCATTTAAATATTGAGTAAACTACCTAGAATAAAGAACAAATATTGATGTTTTCATCCATTAATATATGAAATAATAAAACAAATAAGTACTCTTTATTTGCTTAATTAAAGAAGGATCCTTTAATTTCTTTCCAAGAGCAATTTCTCTCATGAATTCTTTATGTATCTTTCCAGTCCAGGGTATTAATTTAAATTTAAGAAAAAAGATTACAAACATATATTTATTGTTAAGTGATGGTACTTCCTTTTCAACTCCATTTTAATTTTTAAAATTCGTGCCATTGAAAATTGATGGTGGGTGAAATTATCTGACATGAGGGCACATAGTCAATACAACTCAGCATTTACCTTTGTATCCTAGGTTTGTGGGTTTGTCCTTTGATCACTAAAAATGAATGTGCACTGAGTTCAAGTAGCTTCAGACCATGAACTTTGGTCAGTTATTTCTAACAATAGAGTACCTATTGAAATAAAATTTGATTCCTACCACTACTTGGCCCATATTTAGTGACTTTTTTCTTTACATTCAGAAAGGACTATGAAATTAAAAATCAGAACTCTGCCCCCATTACTGATCATTCTAATAAACCACATTGTTGATCCCCAATGCCTACCTTGAGTTGTTTCCTATGTAGTTATTGGAAGCCATAGAGAAGAACTAGAGAAACTTAAATGGAAGAAAAACTGGGGGAAATAAAATCTTGTAAAATTTTCACTTTGAGGAAACAGGACATTGATAATTAAGGTGCTTAAGGCGCAATGCCATCTACCATGGGAACAGGTATTTCAAGTGTTGTTCACATAAAAATACTTGTAAGCATTGTCGGTGGATGATTCTGACTGAACAGGAAGGAGGGAATTTTATTTTACTATATGAAATTGACTTCCTTCCTTCCATAGCAAACTAATACTTGGGAGGTAACATTTTTAAATAATTGCAAAATATGTAAATTTGGCTTCCAATCACACTACAAAATATCTTGTGAAAATTCTTCAGAGCTCTCTGAGCCTCAGTTTACTCTTCCACATGGTAGGCATAATAATATTCTCTGATGAGGCTGCAGAGAGCTTGAGATAAGTAAAGTGTACAGAAGAGTGCTTGGTATTACACAATGCTCAGTAATAACTGCTTTTGAAAATCATTCTGTGGGTGATCATTTGCATTTGCTCTTTTTCCTGGAAATTAGTGATAATGAATTGATATAAGTGGAGAATTTTGACATATTAGTAACTTGTCCCATATTAGTAGTATAGAAAACTAAAAATTGCAAGATATCAGATAGCAGTTCTCTTTTGAAATAGTCAATTAAATATTAAAAATATTTAAAAATATAAAAAAGATACATTATTCATCTTCCTAATTTTTAGAGTTTCTTACCATTTTCGACCTAATTATCTAGAATAGCAGGGGAGACTGTTTGGAAATTTGAGGTGTGTTAAAAAGGCCTCAGCAAATTGAGTGACCACAACCCATTGTAATACTTTGGTAATTTGACAAAGAACATTTGCCAGCACTTTACCCTTGTTTGTCCTTCTGCTGTTCCTTTTACAGACATTTCCAATTCAATAACATCATCGTTTTAAAGTCTTGGTTTCCCCTCAGAATATTAATGTGCCAATCAACATATGGATAACAATATGGAAGCATTATAAACTGGATAACAGGAAACGTTATGATGGTCAATCTGCAGTTTAGACCACATGCTAAGGTATAATTGAGAAACTACTTCTTTTTACAAAAGTTACCCCAAAACGGTGTGGAAAAAAATAGAATACTGATTTCAGTTGAGAAGATTTAACGTAAGTATGGTTATGTTTTCTAAGAACATATATGTTTCATAGTATTTTTCCTTCTAGAATGCATTATCTTGTGATATTTCTTATGCTAAGCCAATTTATTTAAAAGTAATCCATGCTTAGATTCATAATGACAAATGCCATCTGAAGCAACATAAATGCAGGTGAATAGCATTATTCAAAAGACACTGCATTATCACACCTCTTAACTGGCAGTGCGACTGTTTGCATGTTTTAACCAGATCCCAGACTTGAACAAATGTGATGAAAATCAACACGAGCCCATCTCTGTGGGAACTGGCAAAGTAACAGATGCTGCTGGAACTACAAATAGCTGGGACTTCTGAATCCTTGTATGAAAAACATTTTGTGAAAAAAATGACTTATTCTGTGCACTGATTTGTGGACAAAAAGGCTGTATATTGTTGTTTAGTCTAATTCATCCTAGAGTCAGTTTCAATTTAAAGAGACAATGCAGTCTAATCTCTCCATTTTTGACTTTTCTGATTCTGCCTTCACACCGGTAAGTCCATCTCCTTAACTAAATTGAACCTCCATTCAAATAAGAAGTCGGAAAGCTTTGTAAGTGAAAATGGCATAGTGAGTTGTTATTTGACAAGTCTTTAATTAAACTTTCAGAATACCTCCACCTCTGTTATTCTCTATTGTTTCTTCTGGGCAGAGATAGTACCTACTTGAGAGGGCTACGAGAGGATTAAACAGAGTATAACTGCAGGCCAAGGGGAATGTCTGGGTCCCATGACACAGAAAATACTAAATAATCAATAACTTCTGCACAGCAGAGCCTTCATCTAAACCTTACTCAGTATAGAAGTTGCTGAGAGAGGGAGAGAGAGAGGGAGGGAATTCTGCATAATGGTGGCTGTGGCTGTGCTTTCTTTGTGTGCACTAAACAAAAAGAAAAATAAATGCAAATCTCTTTCAATAAGTGATGTAATAATAATAATAAGAAGTAACATTGCTATAGGGCCTACTATGTGTCAGATCTCTTTCTGAGTACTGTTCAGAATCTTCACAACAGCTCTTTGAGGAAGGTGTGTGAACCCCAGTATGCCACTAATTAATGTATGATCTTTAAAAAAACGATCAAAGCCTTAATTTCATCATCTATAAAATGAAGACTC